CTTCTATTATCTGTATAGTTTTATCTTCTGTGATCCTCTGCAGCACCTCTTTGATCTGTTTTTAAATCTCCTGTGCTCTCCTTTTGAATAATTCAGGTGTGTTATTGTCCCCCTTGAGGCTCCCTGGATGGGTTTTGGGGGACTTGGGAGTTCTGGGAGGCATTTTATTGCCTTGTCTTCTTGTGTTTGTAGTTTTGTTTGTTTATATTGTTTTTGTTAGTACTGAGGTTTGTGAGTGCTTATAGTGGAAAGATATTGTGGCTAATATGGAGATCTCTTTAGTTAGCCTGTTTTTCAGTGGTGCACTTTTGGCATGGCTAACTATAGTCCTTTACCCTTGCCTCAAGATTGACCACTTCTGTTAATTTGGGAGGGGAAGATGCAGTGCAGTTGGCCCAACACTGCAGTATTGTTAGTGTCACAAAGGCAATCTGGGCATTGGCATACAGAAAAAATCCGTTAGTAACAATTATGTGACCGTGGCAACACCAAGGAAGTCAGCAACAGTAGCATCATCCAGGACAAATTGGATATTGGCATTCCATAAGAACCAATAATGCACCACCCTCAACCAGAGAAAAGAAATCCGTAATTATAGTACCAACATTACGACAACCCAAATATTGACATGCAGCAAATATATTCTAAATGTGACAACTATACCTGACTAATGGTAGAAAATAATTCAACATTAATTATATGAAGCTAACTAAAGATTAATAAAGCTTAATTGTTGCATTATTAAAGATATGGAGGTTGGGAATGGGAGAATGTAAGTAGAAAAATTTGAAAACTTAAACTATAGATGAGAGAGAAGTGAGACAAATGATCCTTTTATGGAGTAGAAGGATACTTATAGAATTAGATAAAGGTAACAGAAAAAGCAAATGAAAAATAGAAGATAAAAGAAAAAAGAAAAAAGAAATAATATGGAGAATAAAATTAAGAAAAAAATTAAAAGGGAAAAAGAAAGGAAAAAGAGGGGAATAAAACAAGAAAAAGGTCAAAAGAAAATCCCCCATACTCATAAATCAGTGAAGAAGAAAGAAGAAAGGAAAAAAGAGTCCAAGAGTCCCAAAATGTTTTTTTTCCCCCTCTGTATTTTGCATTGAATGGTCTCCTTCTGGGATCTCTTGTTTTTCTCCACCTATCCCTTGAGGAACCCCCTATCCCAGAGGTCCTGCAGTTTACCCAGGCTGTGGCTTGTCTGAAGCCAGATGTGTCCTTGCTCACGCTGGTAGATAAAGGAAGACAGATCCCGTATTTGTTCTGGATGCAGGCAGTAGGGCAAGGGTTTGAGTTCTCAATCTAAATTCCTATAATATTTTAAATATGCTAAACTTTTAGGGAAAAAATTTTTTTTCTTACAAAATAGCAAACTCAGCTCAAAAAATTTTAAGTATCCAAGTGTATGTAATTAAGATGAATCTTTGGAGAAATGGGGCCGGATTAATAATTTTGGTTTAATAAAGAAAAGACAATTATATGTATTTCTCTAATGTATCAATTTTACCTAGAACACAGGTCCATGTATTATATTTTATAACATTTAGACTTGTTTTGTAATGAAGAGGTTAGCGAATGTAGTCTACTAAACTTATTATATTGGTTTACTGATTAAACAAATTAGCATTACTACTTTATACTGTTTCAGTTTATGACACATGTAAATTTGTGTTCACTAACATCAATAATTATTCAGATAAGCTTTCATAGTAACAGTAATTATATTTTGTGCTGTGTAATTTTAAAATAACTTCAAAATCTTAGGTAACTTAAAACTTTGATTTAATGTTAAGTCAATGATTATTACATAACTAGATGATTCTAAAAGCTGAATAGTGAAACTGATTAATAAGAATAAATTTGAGTCTATAAAGCTTCATTTCTTGTTTTTATATCCTATCCCTTTGGGTCATATTAATGGAAGTGTTCATTTTTGTTACTTACAGAAGTCGTGAAAGGAATGTGCGGTTGCAGGCAGCTGCATTATGTGTCCTTATGATTTTGGTTGATCTGCTAAAATGACAGTTTCATAACAGTTCTCAGGTATCTTCATCCAGTTCTCTCTAGGAAGTAGATACTATTAAATTGCATAAAAGTTATAATTCATATGGGTGGTTGAAACCATATAAGGGGCAAGAGTCACAGAACATACAAGAGTAGAACGAACTTTGTTTTGCAAGGAAAGAATTCTAAAGTGAAGTGTCACTTGTTCCAGAATATGAAGGAGCACAGAGCAAAACGTGACTTGAGGGGATTATATCAAGTTGGAGGCTTGATTAAACTGAATTTTATTTGCCTTAATTTATGATACCTGATCCTTAAAAAAATGTGTTAAAATTTTGGCAAATACCTTCAGTTTTAAAGGCTTATCGTCAAGGTAACTGTTTTAAAAAGATCTTCACTGACAAATGTTATGTTACTGAAACTAAAATATAGAATTTTTTCTTTTAACCCTACTTCTACCTCCATTTCTCAAAAAACTGAGAATGCACTTCCTTGACAAATGGGATATTATTTTCCCTAGTGGCTAGAGATGAAGAGGCTTCTCTGTAACGCTGAAAAGACGCCGCACCCGCGTACAAATCCGCTACTACTCCACCTTGTGTTGCAGGCTCTGCGGAGGAGGAGCTCTGGTTAATGTGTGAACTGATTCCTTGCCTCACAGTTACGTCCACATTGAGTATCCAGTGCCCTGCCAATGACTGGTCTACAGATCTTCATCTCCTTTTGGAAGTGCATTGTTGTTTATGTCTTTGCCTGGTCCTAATGTTTTTGTTGGTTCAAAGGAGTTGTCCAAAATGACACAATAGTAAACAGTCGTGGTAATCGTATTAATCAGATGCAGCACTGTTTTCATATTGTCGCTTTCTCCCCATGCTTAGTCCATTGCTTCCATCTTCACCTTCAATGCTAACTTCTGTGTTGGAGAAGTCACACTTCGTGATGAGCTGCTGGTATCTGTCAGGGCTGCATAGCTCAGGACTGCCCGGCTGCAGCCAGCTGTGCCTCTGGCGAGACTGGTGGTGTGAACCTGTGGGACATGTGCCGCAGAGGCTGCTCGCTGTCATCGGAGGCTCTGACAGGTTTGGGCTGGGCTTGCTATTATGTATCTTTTAGTACAATAATTTTATGTTTATTAATGCTCCTTATAGTCTTCTGATGTCACATTTTAATATACTTTATTCTATTTAATAATGCACAATTCATTATTGATCATTTTATTAAACTAATGTGTTTTTTATAATGAAAGTGTAATACATTTTTTTTTTTGAGACAGGGTCTCACTATGTAGTAGTTCATGCTGGCCTTGAACTTATTATGCAGCCCAGGCTAGTGTCAAACTGGTGGCAATCCTCCTGCCTCAGCCTCCTAAATGCTGGGATTACAGGCATGTGCCACCACATCTGGCTAAACTCATGGTGTTATTAGTCTGTATTCCAAGGTTCTGAATGAATTATCCCTGACTATCTTTCCGTGCTTTCTCAGTGTATTCCAACACAGTTTTATTTTGAGTGATATATGTATGCCCCTTTCCTGTCTCTCCCAGATGAGATGAGGTATAGGGCCGTGGTTCCCAAATACCAGACGCTAAGTAAATGACCTGCTTATTATATAAAATCCTTTGGGACAAAACATATAGTTTCGTCCCAGTTTGGGACGCCTCACCACATGGCTTTGCTGTATAAAACATCTTTGAAAAGTGAGGTGAGTGGGAAACTCACTTTCTGGTCCCCCTTCTGTCTCTCTTAGGCAGAAACTTTCTTTCTCCCAATAAATTTTTCCTACTCTTAAAAAAAAAAATCCTTTGGAAGTCTTGTTCAGATCTCCTAGTCCTTTTCTAGGAAAATGATGTACTGAATTATATTTTTGGGGATGGGAGATGGTTGTTTGCCACATAGTATAATGCTTCCCACTGGTCCCGTAACAGAACTCCCAAGTTTGAATATTAGCTTTGCCTTTATTTGGTGTGTGGCTTTGGGACATCATTAATCTCTCAAGCCTCAGTTTCCTCATCTCCTAGGTGAGAGTAATAATATTACCTACTTCACAGGGTTATTATGACCATTAAATGAGTTAATATTTGTAGGGTATTCATTAACAGGTTTTTTTTGAAGTTTTTACAGTTTATTAATCCTCTTGTGAAAAACCTGCAGTCACTGCAGGCAGGCACTGCAAAATCTTTACTCCTTTGGCTTTTTGCCAGCACCAACATTGGCTTTTGCGGTGCCCCTGACTTTCTTCATTCTGTTCTTGCGTTCCTTCCACTGCTTTCTTGATGTCTTTTTTTCTCATGCAGGCCGTGTCTTGTAAGTCTATGTTTGGGTTCATTTTTCTTCGCATAATCCAAAGAATCATAAATCATGCCGAAGCCAGTTGTCTTGCCACCCTGGAAATGGGTTCTGAATCCAAATACAAAAATGACATCCAGTGTAGTCTTGTACATTTTGGTGAGTTTTTCCCAAATTTCTGTCTTGGGTACTGTTGCTTTTCCGGGATGATGGACATCAATGACCATTTGTTTCCTTTGAAGTAGTTGATTGGTCATGAACTTCTGGGTCCAGATAGTTACCGTGTCATTCATGATGGCAACAGATCCTCAGGTGGCCAGGGAGGAAAAGAGCTTATTAACAGTTTTAAGCACACACGAAGTTCTATTTAGTTGTGTTAAGTAGATAAATCAGAAATTATCCTAGGTGATTATTGACACAAACAAGATTTGTGAATTGATGAAATAGAAAGATGCAGGCTGTGAGGTGCTTGGTCTGTTTGCTGCTGAAGATGTCTTCTTTTCCAGCGAGTCTCAGCAGAGACAGGGGTGCCCCCAGCTGATGCTTTATGTGAAGGTCCTTTTGGTTCTCCCAGTGATTGGGTGGCTCTGGTAACTCCCATGGGGTAGGACAAACTGGGAGACCGAACCACAGATCCGCAAGAAGCTAGTCCAGCAGACTAAAGTGCAGGCCCAGAAAGTGGACCCAGCTGGGAGTGGGAGGTGGGAGATGGGCTGGAGTCTAGGACCGAGGAGAGGAGTGGTAGTGTCACAATCCCAGCAGTTCTATCAGAAGCTGTTAGGGCCCACTGGTGTTTATCAGGAGGGCTGCAGGATTGGGAGGGGGAATACTGGGCCCTTATCACAGGGGCTCTGGGCGGAGGATTCAGGGACTTTGTCCAAATCACAAAACACACCAGGCTGCTCTTGGTCCCTCAAGGGCGAAGGCAGAGTCTCCAAGTACTGGGCTAGAGATGAGCACATCTGTTCTTGAGGTAAGATCGGTTCTGAAGCTTTGCCTCAGCTGTGGGATGTGGACATTAGGTACCCCTGGTTCCTGCTGCCAGTCTCAGCTTGGGGCTTTTGTGCAGGGCAGGAACTTAGGATGAGGTGAGTGAATGCCTAGGGTGCAAAATTCAAAGATACACTCACTCCCAGGATTCTGCAAGGGTGCACCTTTGGGAAGTTTCCACCCAGGAGCTGCATGTGCCTTGCCCTAATCTCACCTGTGTACTTGGTCTGAGGCACTTCATTGTTAACAGTTCTGTCTCCTGTCTAGTGGTGCCAGTGGCTTAGGGCCCACACCAGTGAAAGATGCTTCATATGCTGCCTGTGCCTGGTGTATCTTTTTGTGTCTGGCAGCTATAAAAAAGACCACTCAAAATTAGCTTCTTCTAGAACTTTGCCATATGGATGTCACTGCTACCTAATTTCCAAAGACGAAAGGCTTGCTTACGATGATTTAGTGTGCATCACTGAAGAAGCATAACCGAACATCACCATCTCTGTGAGTTAGATTGTAGTTCATGGCTGAGTCAGATAGTTTTGAAATGTTTAATATCAGAGGAGAGTTGCAAATAGTGATTAGACATTTATTGTTACCAAATTTACATCTTACTGCTTTAAAAATATGCAGAAATGTGTCCACTTGGGTTAATTAACAGGATCAAATAAAGTTGAAATGATATATTAGTGCTATTTATAAATTCAGATGATGTTTTTCTTTATAGAATGTTCTCATTAGACTACAGAACTCTTCATAGCTGAGGTGTTTTTATCCTAATTCTGATGGTTAGCAAAAATAAAGTCTTAACAAGTTGTCCATCAAAATGTGTTTATGGCTAGAATGTAATTCTGCCTTGGAAGTCTCAAACTTCTTATTTTCTTTGTGAAGCAACTAGACAGGAAAATTCTGCTGGTATTATTGTAGTGTGAGCAAGCAAGTTAGCTCATTCACCTGTTTGCCTGTGGGTTCAGTTTGGTTTTAAAAACACTGCTATGCTGTGGTTGTTGGCTTGACCTAGAAAAACCAAACCAAACCAAACCAAACCAAGCAACATGCGGATATGTGTTTGAATTCCCAGTGGTTTTCTAGTGGAAGTCGGTCTCACAAGGCTGAGATTAAATTCTGGATGATCAAAGCCATACTTATTGTTGGTTTAATGTCATTATAGGTGTGGCTGCCACCGTACTTGAGCTAGTGCAGTAGAGGCATTCTAAAAGAAGGGTCATAGGGGGGCTTTTGCAGGAGGAATGGATATAAGGAGCATGAGAAGAAGGAGGAAATGAAAGAGAGAAAAGTTGAGCAATTAGGATTTGGAATACTGTTTTGCTCAAAGAATCAGAAATTGTTATTATACCACTGGCACAAGTATTAAACTAGTTGAGGTTTGACTTAGAGTCAAGTTGGTGAAGACAAAACAAAATAGATAAAGAGTTCTTTGGGGATATAAATCAGTAACTGGGTTTTCTTCTACAAGGTAAATGGATTAGTGTTTCGTTCAGCTATTTAAAGAGACTTTTATCTAGGCTTAAACATTTCTCTCACAAGACTCACAAGACCCCAAACCACTTGTTTTCCATTTATGTATTTCAGGAATTCTTTCATTCATAAATTTTGTTTTCTGAAAAATATTAAATCTTAAATGACTTAAATAGCAACCAAAATATTATGTCCCTCAGGAAATACAAGGAAGCTTATATATTAGAGGAAGAACCAGAAAGGAATCCATAAGGAAGGGTTTCTTTCCTATGAAGACAGCTATCTGAAACTAGTATGCTATTTT